TTGAAATCAAACTTCATACTTATCATTACTATTTAGACAACTTTTTTCGTACAGTCATTGAATATATTGTAATATTCTTTGCCTCGTACAATAGCAACCTTCGGATGTTCTATTGTGTGTCAATTTAATGGGTTTTAAATGAATCAATCTTGAGAATTCAAGTTGAGACTTTTGCAACTCAAAATCTTAAAAATGACACATTTTGATGTATATATATCCTAATGAAGGTTGTAATTTGGTGCGAAACTAAATAATTAATTAAAGTCATCTGCTCTTATGTCTAGCGCCTGGTGTCTCTCTTGGAGAATCTTCTATTACTAGTATTTTATTGTTGGAAGGAAAGAAAAGCGTTTATTATAAATAGCTTTCATTAACAATGTTCTGTCACAGTTTCCAGGCAGACAAGAATTTCTGAAGTCTCATTTAAACACTCCAATTATAGTTTTTATTTGAGCGTTGTCATGCGTATTCAGAAAAACACCAATATCGGATACTTTCATCGTGAAAGATGTGTGAAGAGGAATGCGAGTGAAAATTTTCTTACGCAATATTTAGACGTGTTTTTCAGATGAACACGGCTTTTTGTGCATAATGCATATCAAGTCATCTTCTTAAACGTCTTGAGGCATGTTTTTATGATGTAAGCAGCTGATTTTAGTGCTTTTTTGGATGGGCGTGAAAACGCTCAAACAGGAATTATGATTACGGTGTTTAAACATGTATTCAGAAACCCTTGTCTGCTTTGGTTCCATGTACTGTTGTTTCAGATATGGAACAAGCTTACGAAATAGATTGAAAATTTTATCGCAGTACACTTTCATATAAATTATGAATTCCATTGACTTTTCGTTTTTAGTGATTGTTTTAGATATGTCAGAATGACGTCTACTTTCGACCTTAGCAATTTGACAAAATTCTTTCAAACTAGGTCTAATGCATCAGCTGAGGGAAGAATAGTTGACATTCTGGTTACTGTGAGAAACTATTCAAAGATTTATTCAGTGGCTCGTTTTAATGACATTTATTGATTATCAACTAAAATAATAGCACTGGCACTATGCTCAGAAGAAAGTATCTTTTTTCTGATCAAATATGCATCAACATTAAATCATATTTTGAACATGAAGAACATGATCATGGACTCCTTTCGTTCCAGTAAATTGATAATGTCCAACGGGTACATAAAAGACAAGAGCTAGAAGTTCAGAGAAATATACAAATGAACTTTTTACAGACTATATTGAATTGTTTTTTTGGTCTGAAGTTTTGATTATTAGAGCTCTGTTCAAAAGAATCTGCAACAAGCAAAAACATAAAGTTCATTCGAAGACATTTTTCTTGTCAGCGTATTATCTTTCATCTATCGTATTTTCGATCATCTGTACAAACATTTATGCACATACAAGTTATCCAGAAATACGATCTTATCACTAGCACTGCAATGTATTGTACGATCCTTCTCTGTATTTCTTTATTCATTACGATTTTATCTCATTCTCTGATATCGTCCTCTCTCATCCTATCTTCTCTATATAGATCAACTTTGTGTTATCGTAAAGAAAAGCTTAGAATAATAAATCCTACGAAAAGAATGTATTAACCGCATAAAATTCTTATAAAATTTTCACAAACCCATTTTATGACGTAGATGTGGGTGGGATAGGAAGGTAAACGCTTACATGCACTCAACTATACTCTACACCAACATCCATATTTAGTTACATTCACACCTCGCTTTACAAGATCAGGAAAGTAATCTTTTTCCGATGACATTAGCTGGTTATATAATCAAGTCAGTACACAGCCTTTTCTCTTTGTCATTTTTGTCAGATATTAATGCGAGTGGGAAACATCGGACTTCAAGCACAAAGACTTCAAAGTTTTCGAAGACTTCTAAACATTTCTAAATACTTCATGAGACTTCAGTCGTGAAGTCTCAATTGTTTTTCCCTCGTATTAATGTAGTGTTTTGTCGCTCCTCTTTTTTTTTTTATTATATGAGAAGAAATCAACTAGAACATACTTCGAATCCAATATTCCTTGCAAAATCAATGTTTTTATTGGAAAGATTCCTCTAAAAACCAGAAGAAAAAATTAATTGGCATGACGAAGTTGCTGATATGACAGCTAGGAAAATTTTCGCACTACTCTTCAGTAGACTGATTAGTTTTTGTTTTTATTTTTATTGAGAAAGATTAAGATTTTATCGTACGGGGTTCAAATATTTCATCTAATGTTTGTAAATCAGGTATACCAACAATATTAAAGATTTTTGTTAATTAACCAATATGATCAGTTCCAATAAAGAAAGAGGTTGAAGGAGAATTAATTCAGCTGTTATACAACCAACAGATCATATATCAACGTTTTTTTGATGACGTTCTCAATTAAGAAAAACTTTTAATTCACTTTTTTATCTCTGAAATCTTTTGTCACTTTATACTTATTCAGTTCATTAGTTGTCGTGTACTTAAATTGATAAATTATTTTTCAATATAAGCAATAGAACACCTCCAGGGTCTTCTGCTCACTACAAACAATTATTTAATGAAATGAAGAAATAATCAACGAATTTAATTATGCATTCGTATATTATTTAATTCTCTATAATATATTTTTATTTTACGCTGACAAATACAAAAACGTTTCTGACAATAGCTCTTTAGTATAAAGTGGAAGCATGATGTCTTTTTTGAAGGTCAAAACAATGATATAATTCAATATCAGAGATGAACTAAAGATAAGATAAGATCACAAAATTAGTTCTACAATCTTGTGTGTTTCACATTGAACCACATGAGTCGATGCAATAGTAAATGAACGAATCACTAGAGACTGATCAATTCAGTCGAACCAAAATCGAAAAATGAAAATAAATGTATACACTCAATTGATATTTAAATTAGCAAACTAACAAAACTAAATTGAATTTTCGTACTTTTTGCGCATAGCAGTTATGTTTTCATGTGGTCAATAGACATTGTCTCTAGTGGACTTTGCTGAACGAGAAAGGACAACTAAGAAGACGATTGACAATTTGATCAAAGCAAGGAACAATAAAAAAAAATATATATAGCAAGTATTCGATTTGTTTTACTTGGTGTCATTCATTTACTATCAAATATTCATTTTCTAAAGACAAATTTCAGTTATTCGTTGCTCCAAAAGATAAAAAAAAATT